TAACCTGTCACCCCCATGAGTGACTACACTATAGGTAGTAGCAACCTATAAGTATCTGTAAGTCAACAGACTACAGAGTCTAGCTGCGACCTGTTCCAGCTAAACAGTCGAAATCTCTGCCTTTAGGCAGAGAGGCACCCGGACGAGGCTCCGCCGAAGCGCAGAGTCTCGTTCGGGGAGATAGACTGACCTTGAACTTTTTTATGCGGGTTCAAATAGAGAATATTTGGGGCCAAGCCTACAGGCTCGGAGAACCCACATTAAACCGGCCTTGTGCCACATGCAGCCTTCGTGGAGGGGTAGCTAAATATACTAGCTGGGATCTGTTGAGTATGACTCAAACTTATGCGACAACTACCAACCTTTCAATAGTAACACTCAATACTGAATTGACTTGTGACGACCTTGTGCATAACTGTTACCTTTATTCTTATTGTACTGATTTTTTACAATAAACCTTTACTTATTTTATCCACCGTGTTTTTCTAGTATATATTCCTATTAGCACGGAATGTAACATTTATCTTTTTTTTTTTCAGGTCTATTTTCGAAATTATTGTTGAATTTTCTTATTTTAAAATCATTGATTATGTTTGTTAAGTCATTTTCAAAACAATAAGCTCGTTTTGTTGTGATGGGAATTTCATTGATGTAAATCCAAATTTGTTAATATTATTGGTAATATCGATGTTGTCGTTGCCATCATTGTCGTTGTCTTTGTTGAGGAAATAAAATACATTCTATCTTAGGTGGTTTTATAAAAGTGTGTGTGTTTTTTGTTTTTGTTTTTTTTTTGTGAGTTTGATTTTGTAATCATGTAGGTTTGATGTGGGTATATTTTTTAAGGAAAAATTCAATTCCATGTTGATTCCATGTTGACGTAAAATAAAGTTTGATTTTTTTTGTTTTTTAGAATATATCATGCCAGAATTGAATGCTGTGAAAAAACAAAAAATCTGCAACTGAGAATAATTTTGTACCAGATAGATAGATAGACAGACAGACAGATATAATTGGCCCATAAAAGAAATTCGAGAGATAAAAAGAAACAACAAAAATAATAATATTGATAATAGGACCAATAATATTTTATGTATATTAGTAGATTTTTTGACCAAATAGAAGCACGATGAGAAAGATTTTTAAAATCAGAATCTTCGGACAAGCCTTTGTCCTGTTGCGGACTGGTGATTGTGTTTAAATTGATCAGAAGGAATTTCGAGGCTGTGTTCTACAACATTCGTCCACAACAATTATTTAGAACAAATACTTGGAACAAATCATGCAAATAAAGTTGAAAACAAGACAAATGTTGAATGCATAACAATAACATCAATTTATATACAATTTAATATACTGTGGGTTTAAGATTTGATGGATAAATGAGGATTAGTGTATTTTATTGTGTATTGTGTTCTTGTGAATGTTTGGGTGCGTTTGCGGGTATTGATTAGATTTGTTCACAGAATTAAACTGTTTGTTTGATCAACGGACAAAAATGTTCGGTGTTGAGGTTGAATCGTTAGTGTATGTACGTAAGTGTGTTTATACAAATATTCAAAGTTGTTCAGGGTTGTGTACCTTTATCTGCTTGAGAAAAATAAATTGTTAGTTTCTGATACTTGTTATGTAGTGAGAAATATCACTTTGAAAGTATAGCAAGTGAAGTTTGAGAAATTGTTCTAGAGAGAGATAGAGTGTGTTTGTGGATTGTTGAGTCAGAGAATATTTTTTTGCGCGGCAAAGTCTGAGTTTTGACTGGCGTGGAGTTGATGGGCTTCTCTCTAGGTGAAGAGGTCTGACTAGTGAATTGGACTGAAATTCGTCCTTTTATTTAGTTTGGGGAACCAAAGTAGGCTCCCAGTGGCCTGGCGGGAAAACAGATTTTTGACCATGGATACACATTCTAGGGTCGTCTCGGCCAATAACAAGCCGAGTTTCACAATGTGTGGTGTTGATTGGTCAAAACTAATTCTTATAGAAGAGTCTATTTTTAACGGGGGTGAGTAGACAAACATTGACGATTCTATAGTCCTTTCTCAACAAGACTTGAAATAAGAAAAAATGAAATGGGACTCTCTTTACAGGGGAATTTGTTATGGTGGTGGGTTTTTCGCCATGTATTAATATTACAGTAAGTTTGTCACGATTTGGGGGCAATACACAAATTTTCTATCACAATGGTTGCTAATTTGGCAATGACAATATTTTTTTTATTCATAAATCATATGTGAATAATGGCTAATGCAATAATAAAAAGCTATTGAATCATGCAATCTCATGATACAAGACAATAACAAAAAGATTAACCTTGTTACATCTAACTGGTCTTAAACATTGCTAATATAGTCATGGTGACTGTTAATTTCGTGTTTTAGGGAAACTTCTTTCTTTTCTCTATATCTTTATGTTTCTTATCTTCTATATTATCTCTATATGCTTCTTACCTTATATATATGTGTGTGTGAGTAAAATGCATATATATATATATATATATATATATATATATATATATATATATATATATATATATGTATGTTTATATATATATTATTATATGTTATATTTATACTTATTGGAAAGCGCTGCATATCAGTGATAGAGCTAACATATTTAGTTGAATTGATGTGAATTTGTATTCATAGGTTTCTAACGATCACAAATAGTGTGAAACCCAGGATCACAAACTCACATCAGTTCAACTAAATATATATATATATATATATATATATATATATATATATATATATATATATATAGTACCCATTGTGTATTTGTCCAGCAATAGTCGAGCCAACAAACACACATGGCGTGAAGATTGAGTTCATACCTGAAACAGACTGTCACCGTTCAGCATTGACTTTAGTGTTCACTTTTATATTTACAAACGCTCTATCCCTGATATTGAACATGTTTATTCATGAATACAGCATACCTTAAAACTATATTTTATAACATATATATATATATATATATATATATATATATATATATATATATATATATATATATATATAGTCATTAGCAAAAGTTTAAGTCCATCTCGCTGTATCAAGGTCGTTTTCATACTTTTCATTACCTTGTGTTACACGAGACTGCATGATGCAATAGCTTTTTGTTATTGCATCAGCAATTATTCACACATGATGTATATTTAAAAAGATTTCTGTCATTGTCAAATAACAACCACCGAGAATATAGAATATCTTTGTATTGAGTTTTCACTCAAAATACGGTTATAAAATCATCACTAACACCGATACGAAGCGCCCAAATTGTGGTTCTACGCGGTGAAGGCTAATCTGAACGTGTAGTGAGTGTAAAAGATTGCTGTAGCAAAACATTGGGGCACACTGATATCAGAATTTCCAAAATTCAGGTACATTTAGCGACAGGCTGGGGGGGGGGAGAGTGGAGATTCAAGGAAAATCAGCGCTGGAGACGACCATTTTGTGAAGCACATTACTACATGATCTCCAACAAGTTATAATACGTGCTGCTCTACTTCAAACCTCTACAAATGTCAGTTCTATGCCGGTTTCACGTCATCTGAGATTCGAGTTTAGTCTTAAATCGTACAAACCGGATCATAAACAACGGCTAACTGCAGCTCATTTGCTAAGCAAAATGAAACCTGGGAGCTGAAGACTGAAAAAAATTATTTTCAGATGAAGCTACTCTGCAAGAGTTTTTATACGTCAAAGAAACATTAGAACAACCCCCCTAGTAAGAGATTTGATGAAAAATATATAATTCGGTCTTTGAGGCACCAACCAAAGCAGATCATTTGGGGTGGTATGTCCAAATCTTCTTAATTGTTGTTGTTCCCGGGTCCACTAAGACCCGGGGGTAACACTTCTTAGGATCCTAGCTATTGGAAAATAATGAATCCTAAACAAAAACAAAACACTCTAAAAATATAAACATACATTTTTATAGTAAATATACCAGCAATACATTTTATATTAAAAAATGATCATGCTTGTAGTAAAATTACTAACAATACCTATTTATAGTAAAATTAACAATACATTTTATAGTACAATTATCAACAGTACATTTTATCTGGAGATGAAGACATAAAATTGTGTTTAAAATATTTAGATTTTGGCATTAAATAACCCATAGAATTTGCCGCTAAACAAATTCAACCAACCAAATATTGTTGGAGTTTGACTAAGTGTAGAGTAGTCTCCCCTTATTTATTTGCAAATAATTAAAATATAAATTCTTTAATGATTAGTATTGAGGTTAACGTTCATTTTAAAGAGAATACTTATTAAAAGAAGAACTTTACTTTTGTAGTGGATGAAATAAAATCTATCATTCTCATAAAAAAAGCACTACACTCCTCATCTACTTTGTATTATTGAACGTGAAAAATAAAAAAAATAGAAAAATGCACATCAAATTAGTAGCACGGATATTAAAAACTCGTCTTGGACTTCTGAAACCCTAACTCGAATAACAATTTCAAATTCATTAACAATAAGTCACGTGTTAATGAATACAACAAAATGGATTCCGAATGGTCACCAATAATATTGACAAAGATTAAACCATAAGAAATGGTTTCTAGCAATTTGGCATAAACTGTCGTTACGGTAATTGTTCTGATGAGTTTTTCTTTTTGGTATCTCGACTTCATCAATTGAAGTGTGTCTCTTCAAAAGTTGCAATATTAGATTGGCACTTAAGTAAGCAACCGTAAGTTCTATGCTAATATTTTTTTCTCCCACACTTCTCATTAGTGGAACTCTCTTCTGGCTTCCTATCAACTACAGTCTTCAAAAATATATTATCTTCTGTCTTCTTGAATCCTATTCTTTTATTCGCCTCTCTGTTTCTTTCACTCTCTTTAACCCCTTCGTGACTTTTATCGCCTAACTTGTGAAGTCTTTTCCCGTAAGTGAAGATAACAAACCTAACTGGAATTGGAATTCGGATCTTCAATTTCCAATTCCGAATCGTTATCCATTACACCACCCGCACATCCAAACTTACAGCACCTGGTATTCCCAAGCGATCACCCATCTAAAAACTGTCCAGGCTCGATGTTGCTTAACTTCGGTAATCGAGAATCAGTGTTTCAAAGTCATGTGGCCGAATGTTCTCAATCATATGTAATAGGAGTCCTTTTAATTTATTGTCATCGGAACTCGTTTTCTTTATATGTCATGGGATGTCCTTTTGTTTGTATGTAATATGAGGTCCTTTCCTTTAATGTGAGGTCCTTTCCTTTATATGTCATAGGAGGTCGTTTTCTTTTCACGCAATGAGGGGTCCTTTTGTTTATATGCAATATGAGACCCATTCCTTTAATGTGAGATCCTTTTCTCTATATGTCATAAGAGGTCGTTTTCTTTTTATGCAATGAGGGGTCCTTTTGTTTATATATAATATGAGGTCCTTTCTTATAATGGAAGGTCCTTTCATTTATAGATAATGGGGGTCGTTTTCCATTATATGTAATAGAATTTTGAGAACACTCGTAGGTAATAACAAAACAAGCGTTACCGCTAATAATAGTTATAAATATTGATTTTATCTCAAAAAAACAACCCTACCATCATCAGTGTCATTACTTTAACGGAAATGGTGAAACTTGCAGAAGATAAATATGATAAAAAATATTTATGAAGTTGATGAAAATTATTTTCAAATTGATCAACTCAAGCGAAAAGCTTTTGGACAATTTCTGTTACTTTTCGAAAGCAACACAAATTGCGAATCAAATCACCTTTTACAACAAATTATGATTTTTTTTTTTCAAAGAAATGTAGGCGAGAGAATTACCAGGTTCAAAAAATCAATGCCTACTTTATCGCAACGGAGATGTCTGACAGAGATCCTTCCGTTCGATTTAATGAAATAAATAAATAACAGCTTGAAACAAATAAGAAATCAAGACAAGTTAAGGAGTTCTTCAATATTGGACTTATAAACGTGTTATGATGGTCCTTGTATGACTTCTGACTTTGGTAGGGGTGGAGGGACTACTAAAATATACAGATATACATCATAACAACAAAGTGAGACATTTTTATACATATATAGAAGTGTTTATTATCAGAATGTTTTCGTTGTTCGGTAGATATATGAAAGTTCTCGCGATGTGGTTGTTAAATGTTCTGATATTTGTGTTATCTTGGTGAATGAATGAAATATTTTGCTTGTGATAAGTCTATCATTAAAAAGCCATATTCAACATAAGAAAATAATATATGAGTAAAACATATCTTTAGTCTTCATTCCCACAGAGATCAATTTTCATGTGCTCTCATAATGAGAGGTTGAAAAGAGGCCAGATTCTAAATTCCCCGACAGTAGGGAAGTTTCCTATTTTACTAGAGAATCATAGGAAATAGGGATTTTTTTTTATTTCTCGTGATCGTGAAATGACAACACAATTTTTATTTCTCGTGATCGCGAGATTACAACAAACATTTTGGAATAAACGAAAAAAAAAATAAAAGAAATATTATTTTATAATTTTGAATCCTTGTCTTTTGTTGTTGTTTTTGTTGTCTGCGTCTTCGAAAAGAGCATAATTCGATTTTTGTATCTAATTTAATTTCCCGGTCAGAGTGAGATGTGTGGGCTCGTGCATTTAGTGTCGCAATACAATCACATTGCTGGAATGGGGTTTAGCTGATTTGAAATAAAAAAGCTTGAGTTGTTATTCAACCTCTATTTCTCTCCCCCCCCATCCTATGTCCCAATAAATAAAGTTGGAGCAATAAAATCTTCTGTCTTCATTAATAGAACATCATTTTGAATTCAATATTTCAGAAAGCTAATTAAATTAAATTACATTTTATGAGTTCAAGTAATGTTTCTATACAATGGTAGCAATAAAACCAAAATTCTTAAAGATCAGTTGCAGTCAACAATCTTATTCCAAGTTTCCCTAAAATGCAACTTATATTATTAGTTTCAAAATAAAACTGCACAATCATCGCTGAATATTGACAAAATATACTAGTATGTGTTAAGAACTAAAGTAATTAGGTTAAGAACGGTTTATTCTTAATAAAAATTAAATTAAATATTTGATTAGTACGTTACAATCGACATAATCCTGTCATGAAATATTTAGAATAGTTGTTCGGAATATTAAACTGTTTCAGGCAACTCGACGTCGAGTAATGGTTAGCGACGCTAGTCTGATTGACAATTACTTCGAAGAAAGTCGGTCTAATCCTATGTAAATGCTCCATGAAAAAATAATGCAACAAGATTTGATATAATGCAAACTCAATCAACCTAACGTAACCGACGATTTTTCGTTCAATTCATTCTATGGACTCTCGCGGTAAAAGTAACACTTGGGATTTTTTTCTTTTTTTTTATAAAGCATTATTCTATTTAAAAGGCGTGAAGCCACTAGGATGCAGGGGGTTGCAGAAGATTTGGAGCGAGAGCAGATAGGAGTGATAGAAGAAAGGATGAGGAGAAGGATAGTGGGTAGATCAAGGTAACTGGAGGTGTCGATTGACATTACATTTGAATAGTTGGAGATTATAGCTCTCAGGGAAACAGTAGTTGGGAAGGGTTTTCCACAGGCGAGAGGTGCGAGGTATGAAGCTATTGGAGTAGAAGAGACGGCTACATTTAAAAAGTTTCTACAGTGAAAAATGGTGAGAGCGGGATGCCAGCCTCGTAGGGCGCTTGAATTCATGGAGTCTGGGAACCAGTGAAAGCAGCTCATCGGAGCAATTACCATGAAAGTATTTGTAGAAAAGACAGAGAGAGGCGACGGCGCGTCTGTGAGAGAGTGACTGGAGACGAGATGCCAGATCAGGGCCAATTATATTACATATCCATCTCTGGATCTTGTCAAGAACTCCGAGGTAAGCAGAAGGTGCTCCAGTCCATATATGGCAGCAATACTCCATGCAAGGGCGAATGGTTGATTTGTATATTTGAAGTATCGATTCCGGGAAGAAAAATTTCCTTGCGCGGCACAGAGAGCCAACTTTCCTCGCGGTGGACGAAGCAATTGACTCAATGTATTTGTTCCATCTCAGGTCAGCAGTCAACGTGGATACAATTTAATAGTTATTACATAAACTTACTTCTAAAATCTGGAATACTAAGTCTATCAATACTAACCTCTTTCTATCTACTTATGTCAGGTTGTTCATATATATGTCGGCTCACGTTATGTATTTCTATCGATCTATAAAGCACACACGCACACACACACACACACATGCGCACACACACACACAACTATATATATATATATATATATATATATATATATATATATATATATCTTCAATTCTCACTTTCTATCTATGGTAATTTGTTCATATCTGTTATTGTTTACATGTATCTCTCCGTGTCTAATGCAGCCTTTTATATTTATAAATGAAAAAAAAATATATATATATATATATATATATATATATATATATAATTATTTATTTAAAAATATGATTCCAAATCGCTACATAAGAGGTCTCATGTTTTGAAAACAAGAGCCGAAAACTTCAATATAATCCTTTAAATTAAATTGAGTTGAAATTAAAAAGGGCTCCGTTCCATCTTCAAGCGAAATTTTTTGTTGGAATAACGTATATCTGAAATTTACTTGTTTTAAAATTGAAATCAAAATCACCATGGAAACAGCTGGGGCGAATTGTCTAAACTGGGTAGGCGAGTGTAGGGTGTTAATGATATGTTAATCAGTATAGAGATACTTTCAAGGTGTCAAGTCGGGGGAAGGTGAGGTGTCAAAAATGAAACGAAGATGTATTAAAATTTCGTCAAGTTGGCATGTTAATATGGAAATTTATTTATTTATTTTATTTTGTTTTTTTATTAGAAGGGGAATTGTGCATATAAATAAAAGTTGTATTTTCGGTAACGTTTGTTTTTTTAACGACTTCATAAATATTATCTTTTTATGTAAAAGTAGAAACTACTAATTTGGGCTATGGATTATGAAGGGTGTTATGTTGTAAATAAACAAAAAAGTTAATAATTTCTGCTATGAATCTGATTTTGGGTTAAAACAAATAGGACACCAAAAGTTAAATGGAAAATCATTGATAAGGCTAGAACATGTAAAGTTTGGGATGACCCATGCCCTTTGTGCCTCCATGAAAAATTGCACATTATTAAATTTCTGAATAATAATAATCTATTAAATAATAGACACGAGTTAACGGTTTTTTGTAGGCATCATCAGATTTTTGGTTTAAAATAAAAAAAAATAGATAACTTGTTTAACAAATAACCCAATCATCAGATTCATAGTAGAAATTATTAACTACAAACATGCATACAACATAAAGACCCTTCATAATCCATAGCCCAAATTAGTAGTTTAAATACCTTACATAAAAGATAATCCTTTATGAAGTCGTCAAAAAAAACGTTACGAAAATTTTTCTTTTTTATATGCACAATTCCCTTCATAAAGAAACAAAATAAAATAAATAAATAAATTTCCATAGACAAGCCAACTAGACGAAAATTTAATACATCTTCGTTTCATTTTTAGACACCCTCACCTTTCCCCGACTTGACATCTTGAAAGTATCTCTATACTGCTACATATCATTAACACCCTACACTCGCCTACCCAATTTAGACAATTCGCCCCAGCTGTTTCCATGGTGATTTTGATTTCAATTATTAAAACAAGTAAATTTCAGATATACGTTATTCCAACAAAAATTTCGCTTGAAGATGGAACGGAGCCCTTTTTAATTTCAACTCAATTTAATTTAAAGGATTATATTGAAGTTTTCGGCTCTTGTTTTGAAACATGAGACCTCTTATGTAGCGATTTGGAATCATATTTTTAAATAAATAATTATATTTATGCTCTACTTTTGTATCGAGCACTATTTTTTTAAAATAATAACTAAAATACTAAGGAACTGTGGACTATTTACCTAACCAGTTCCTTCTTATTTTCTATATATCTTCACAGAATATATACTACAGGAAAATAACTCATTGCTCTTTTTCATAACGTTTTCCACTTACATGAAGTGGAATGAATATATCGAAATAATTGCTAGTTCCGCTGATAGGAAAATTCGTTCAACTGTGTCGAACTTGAATCATAATCTATCTACATTTCGTAC